TGCAAAACTCCCTTTAGTCATTAGAATTAGCAATAGCTTCTTGATTTCACTCGTATGCCTTTCTTACAGTATATCTGAGTGTACCTGTGAAACTACAAATGTAGTTGTCCAAATGTTTTAATGCATACTTTCCATTTAATTTATTTCAAATCATTTCTTAAAATTCAAGTGACATTTTTTTTTTTATTATAAAATGAATGAATTTAGGTAGACACCAGCTGCTTAACGGCAGGGCTCATGTTGACATGAGATAAATGATCTTGCAACTTAGCAGAGTTCCCTCCATTTATATGAAGCTGAATCATTTATCAGCACACTAACATAATGGGCTCCCCATTTAGTTTCATCAAGCTCATTTGGGAAAGTGCCACAAGATCACTGCAGGGTTCATAACATTAAACCAAGCAAGTGATGAAACATCCATCGAAGAACACGAGATACCTCCCTTGGTGACAGAAGGAGACTTGATTTAGAGTTCTGTTTCCCCCTGAGTTCATTAAGCGCCGTGGGCTGATGCAACCTTAGCAATCCTTAATGCATTTTGCTTGTTGTAAGAGCTCGACTCGAGCAGTTTTCTCGGTTGGAACTCAATTAGGTAAAGTCATTTGTCTTTTTTTTTTTCCCTATTGGAGGTGTAATGATTTAGATTAAGTTGACCTTTGCGGTGAACAGGGTTTTCCTGGTAGGTGCTGTTTCACCAGAACATGCTGTTTGTATGACAGGTTGTTGTTTTTAAGTTCAGATGTTGGTCACAGACTTTTAAGTGAGATAATTTGCTTTTTATTGTTAAAGGCATTCATTTCATATGTAAAGGTATGATGTTAATATAAAACATGGGCAGAGTTTCAAAATTATGATGTAAACGTCTGTAAAAGAAAGGCTTAATCTGGCATTAAATTCTAGGTTTTCGATTTGTTTTCTTTTCACATCATATACCACATATCTTATATTCAACGTATAACATATGTGACACCTATAACATGAAAGGGAACAGGTGGATTTATAAAACTGCTTATTGCGATGGTTTCTCAAAAATTGCTAACTCCTGTTAACTTACAATAGCTGTCTCCATAGTTTACAAAATTAGATATAAAAAACAAAAACATCCAGTGATGGGCTGTTCTTGTCAATGACAGAGGTCAGAGGAGAACTGCTTGATTGGTTAAGGCCCCCCCCAAAAAAGAAAAGTGACTGCAACTATTTTGAGCATGATTGCTTTGCAGATCAGTATCTCAGTATGCGTAACACGCTGAAACTTGATTGGCTAGACCAAACCAGGCTTCACTCCCTGTGACTCACCAAAACTGAAGTGTGGAAAAGCATGTCTTGGTACGATGACTTTAGATTTCTGCTGTAATGCGCAGATGGTAGGGTCACGATTTGGCATCCAGCTGCCTTGTGTCAACGCTTCAGGCTGGGTTAGTGGTAAAATTGCGTGGGGAATGCTTTTCCCTGGCGCATATTAAGGCCCTTAATACCAACTGAACATCATTCGAATGCCATTGCCGAGCCGAGTATTGTTGCTGACCGTGTGCATCTCTTGATAGCCACTGCCAGCAGGGTAAGGCGCCATTTCACAAAGCACACATGATCTGAAGCCGGTTCCATCGACATGCCAGCGGGTTTTGTATGTTCCATTCGCCTCGGCTCTCGACCAAAACCCCCTTTGGGATGAGGTTGAAAGGGAGAGCCGTACAGCCAGCAATTCTGTAGCATCGTGTACTGGTTTTATATGAACATGGTAAACAATCTGTAAGGAATGTTTCCAATATTATACTGAATCTATGCCACCAATTAATTTAGGATTTTTTAAGTGGGCAAAGGTGGGTCCAACACTACATTAGAAAAGCATACAAAAAATTGGCACCTGCTATATGAAATGAGGAAGAACCAGTAGAAGGAAAAAAATATTTGTGTTGCTTAAACAGCAAAAAGAATCTACTCTAAAATGTCAAAAGAGCGGTCCAATCAGAAAATTTAGTTCGATGTACACCTCTTGCATAATATTCTTTTTTCATACAAATCCTGAATGCATGACTGCCAAGCAGTTAATTCCCGTTTTATTCAGTTTCACATAAATATGCAAGCGGTGTCATTCTGTTGGCACAAAACAGTGAAAGGTGTTGAATGGGTTTTCAATGAAATATTCAGTCTTTCACTATTTTTTCTTATTATTTTCAGGTTAAAGGGTGATCTTGCCTACAATTACAAGGGACCGAGGACAAAAGATGATATTGTAGAGTTTGCCAACAGGGTGGCAGGGTAAGTTACAGGGTTCAAACAACACTTGGAAATCAACATGAGGAGAAACTGAGAGCCGAGTAGAACTTCCCTTATTTCACAGGAAGACATGCCAAGCTAAATGAAAAGCTTATCAACCCAGGCCATATTTGTTTCATAGCTCAATGGATTTCTGCCTCTGATGCTCCACTTTAAACCACTGTATCAAGTGAGCCTGACAGATTTCTCCCCTCCTTGAGGGAAATCAAACTAGATCCGTGACAGAGGGGCTGATCAAAAGCTTGGCTCGGAGACGGGTTGAGGACTGCAGTGGTTTTTTGAACTGCCACTGGGTGGTGCTAGCAGCACAGAAACCAAGATTAGGACATTACACATCACTGTTGTACTCTGTGAGGTTTAAATACTTATCAAAATGAACTCCTGTCTATGTTTTGTTTGTTTGTTTGTTTGTTTGTTCTTTATTCCATCAGACCAGCCGTCCGAGCCCTTCCCAGCAAGCAGATGTTTGAGCACATGATGAAACGGCACGATGTGCTTTTTGTGTATGTTGGTGGGGATTCTCCTCTCAAAGTAAGCAACATACAGCAATACACTTTCATTCTTTTATTCTTTAGCAACCACACAAAAGTCTGCATCATAGGGGCAATGCTATGCTGCAGCATTGACATAATATAAGAAAGAATTCATTCTATGCAATACCTTCAAGTGATAATTTACAATCTTTGAATACCGAAAGCCTTTTTTTTTTTTCCTTCTTTTTTTGCTATTGCAGGAGAAGTACAACGACGCTGCCTCTGAGCTCATTGTCTATACTTACTTCTTCTCTGCTTCAGAGGAAGCCTTGCCAGAGGTAATGCTTTGAATAGGCGATCATCTTTCGTCTTTAGAAAGTATGAAATTAATTTCACAAAGATACACTCACAAACATGTCATTAATGCACTTGGGAATGACACATGCAGTTATATTTTCCTAGTTTGAGATAATGTTTTTAGATTCTTTGAACATGTCTCTTGCCCTGGGATTGCACACGTTACAAGCTCTGATGTTTTTTTTTCCCAGTACAAAGAGTTTTTCACATATTTTATATGATTTATGGATCTTTGTCTAAAGTGGTGTTTTTGTGTTTTCAACAGTCAGTATCTTTGCCAGAGCTTCCTGCTGTCGTAGTCTTTAAAGATGGAGGCTACTTTACCTATGATGGTAAGTATTTTATTTGCTTTAGGCTTTGTCCACTACTGTTGTCTTGTTTTTTTTTTTTTTCTCAATTGGTTTAGTTTAATAGCTTAACTAGAGGGCAGTAGGGTGCCATGCTGTCTCCTGCTCCCGCCTGCTATTCCCTCCTCCTTCTCGCCTCTCACATAAACTTTGTAACCAGAGCTGTCTTCATGTAGTTTTCCCGTTCCTGCCGCTGCTCTTTCATCCTCACCACACTGAGTTATGGTGTGCCTGGCCCATCATAAAGCACCCCAGGGTCTGCCCACTATTGTGTGTGTGGTTAGGCCAGTGATGTTGTGGCGGTTTGTCTCTGGGCGGACATACATAGCAGGCCAGGGTGGATGAACTGGCTTGAGTGGGCGTGCGAGACCGCAGATTCGACCAAAGAAGAGCGCAGAGCTGGTAGTGTGTATGCAGTCAAAGCCAAGAGGTGAATCGCTGCATCAGCCATCGAGTCAAAGCAGACAAAAAAGAAAATCACATTTGCGATGCGTAAAAGCTTTAGAGGATTTGCTTTTTCGGGTCATAATTGAAAGCTTTCAGCGCAGTAACATGAGTTCACCGCATTCCTCCATGATCTCTTGTATTTCTCTGCCGCTTTGGGCCCGAGTTGGCAGGCGGAACCGGAAGCGAAGAGCGTCGAGGCACAGCGACAACACAAACGGACCCCAGTAGTGGCTGTTAGGGAGGTCAGGTGCACGGTGTGTGACCCGGAGAACAAAATCCATCTGCGTTGCGGTCTGTGCGTTTGCATCCATCTGCTCCACCTGACCATTTCGGAAGGCGGGCTTCACGCACCAGAATCTCAGCAGAAGAGGCTCGCCACAGTAGATGTTAACCACAAAAACTCCACACTCTGCAGAGTCCTCTAGGACTTTGATACGGAGGATGTGATGAATCTGTAGCATTGCCATGGTGACGGTGTGTTAAACTTGTCAAGGACTGAGGAGAGGAGCAGCATGGCAAAATGACATGGTTGTGTCCTTCCTTTCTTTGTCCTTTTCAGTCGTTCGGAAACTGCAGAAGAAAAAAAACTTTGATTATTTAGTATAGTAGCACAGAAACTGAGTCATTAAGCATTAGACACTTACCTCAAGTGATAGCAAAAGAGAAATTTAAGAAAGTGGTTTGCCTCGCTTTTTTAAAGACTCATAGCCTTCAGCCTCGGCTTTCTGTCCATCTGCTGTAGTATGCTTCTAGTCTCCCTGAAGGTCTGCTGGCTAAATGTTGGATGAAGGAATAAATGAGTCAACCACACCTCATATGGTTTGCTGTTGCCCTCACTTTGCATGGTGTTCAGTCAGAAAATGTTATATGGCTAAACTTATGAGCCCATTTGCATAGGCACCTAGTGACACTGTTTTATGGCAGGCTGTGACGTTTAGTCAAGCGTGTGAGTATTATACTGTGAAACTGACACGTTCTTTTTTTGCTGCATTGTTGTTTATCTTCTAGCATTAGAGGCCGACAGCTGCCAAGATATTCTAACGACTTTGATCATGCCCCCCCGCCAACTATTTGCTTTCATATGTATTTTCCGAATACGCAGATTCAAAGTACTCATTAGAAATTCACTGCACACTTGCTGTTCTTGCTGTGCACTCTTGTTTTTAAAGAATGGGTCCCACTGAGCACAACCACACTGTCCAAACACAAGCTCTCGCTTTGTGTAAAATGATATTTGACATGTTATTGTTTAGCTTTGATTGCTTTAGTGCGCATCACAAATAGCGGCATCCCTTTTGAAGAGCACTGTTAAGATATAGTAGAACACAGAAGCTCATACATATTTAATTATCCAAATCCTCTGTTTCATACAGTTATACAGGTCTGCTCTGCTATTGTGCTTCAAAGGCCAAGTGGTTTTGATCATTGTGTAGCTGCATTGAAAGCTACTGGGGAACATGTAAGAAAGCAGAAAAATATAATTAGCATATATGTCAGCATGCACAGTACGGCATTTGTAACTGTTTCACTTGCCAACAGTCTTCAGACACGTTTTTGGGTCTTTGAGTCCTCCTAATGCTCAGAGCTCCACATAAGGCTTCCTGTTAATCTGACTCAGTGGTTAATGGTTTGGCCTTTCCACTCCTTGTATGGAAACATTCATAATGCTGCCAGCTGTGAGGCCGAATGTGTTTGCATATGTTTATTGGGATCATGTAAATGACAGGATGATTAACAGTTTGTGAATGTGATGACAGAAAAGATCACACTTAAACAGGTGATAACACAATGATGACATTTTGGTACAGCGCACACGGTCAGCCTTCATTTCACTGGTTATTGCAATCTGCAGTGTTGGCAAGGTCAGCGTGAATGACATTGATGGAAAGCCCAATAACTGGTTGTTGTTTTTACTTTGTTTGGACAGAGGAGTGGTGGGTGGGAGATGGGGTATGAAGTGCAAAAAAGGCAGAGATGCTGCATGTAAATTGTGCCCGTGGATTTCACGATCTTATTTTGGATAATTGTTTTTGGAAAGTGGACAAAAGTATTTAGACATGATTAACATAAGTCAAATGTTTAATTATTGTCAAATTATTAGGTCAAAATGATCAAATTATTGTTCCAGCTGCTGGTGTAATGTTTAATTACTAATTTATTGCTGAGCTATAAGTACATAATGTAGAGTGGAACCCCGACTTACGAAATTAATTCGTTCCCAAGGGTCTTTCGTAAGTCGAAAATTTTCTTAAGTCGAAGCACCCATCGCGCCTTTTGAGTGACCGATAGGCTATTGGCTAATTGCTAACTGCAACAACAATACACCGTTTAAGTGGAATAGCGAAGCGCAAGTACGAAAGCCAAGGGGGTTGTCACATGATCCGGAAGGCATTGTAGGCATTCTGGGCTCAGCCAATCAGAGCCAGCGGATTTCGTTATGCGGGCATGTTGCCGTAACACGGGCAGAAATATTGCCGTTAAGTGCCTACATAATTTGAATTTTTCGTTAAATGGGGTATTCGTAAGTCGGGGTTCCATATTCTGCAGTTGCATGCAAATTACAGTGGCGTAATTAAAGTAGGAATACAGTGAAGTACTTCAGTGAATTTACTTTAGTAGTAAGTCTACTTACTACATGGCTCTTGTCAACTTTTCTATATTTTTGTATTTATGTGGCATTTGTCACCAACAGTGGCTTCTTCTTCACTATAAATAATATAACTAACTATAACCGATATAGCTTTGTTTGATTTGATTGCTCAAGCATTACCTTACATGAATATGAGCTGCTAGCTACTGACAGCATCATTTTTTTTCTTTATCTTTACCCGATCCTATAACTGAGCAATACATAAAATATTTTTATATCACACTCTTTTTATTTGTTGTTGTATTCCTATTTCCTTTCAGCAGTTGAGCCAAAGCATCTTCTTTGTTAAACCTTATGTGTTCTTTTTTTATAATAGCAAATTACCCTTGCTTTCTCATCATTACACCGAGCTTTGTGTCACATTTCAACACGTCAGTCTCCTGGATCGTACGCTGTCTGAGTTATCTTTATGAAGCAGCTTCCTCCCCTCTCTATGCGTTTCCCCCTGTGGTTCTGTTTCTACACTTTTTGCATTGTCTTGGAGGTCTTCTGTGCCATTAACCTTCATCCTTGAAATGTGTCAGAGCTGCCTCCTCCCTCTGCTCCAAACTCTGACACTGGATCATCCTCACTCCACCCACTGTCTGTTTATATTCCCCCTCATCTTTCTCTCTCACCTCCCACTGTGTGAACTCTGGGCTGAAGGGCTCCTGTAGGGCAGTATGGAGATTGTGAGGGTGGCGCCCGGGAAGAAAGCAGCTCTAATTTGTTTCAAGGTGAAGCAGGTTCAGTCGGTGTAGAGGTGGATCAGGCTGTACAACCCCAGTATGGGGCCTCCGAGCTTTCTTTTGCTTCTGGGGTAAAGTTGGGAAGCTGCATGCTGTCTGTAAAGCCAGAACATCTGTGGAAAGAACTCTCTGGAATGTCTGCCCTATCCACTGACTCAGCAGTCTTAACAGCAAGGCTCCGCTCCCTTTGCACAGTATAATCACTGAGGAATAGTTTCTAATACTACTGTAAGCTACGACCTTGGGGGGGTTTAAAAGTGTGTTCCAGGTTTTAGCTTGTCATGTTTAGTATTATGCTTCCAGCTCACTTGGAGCCCTGCAGGATGAGAATCATGTTAAAAGTCATCAGTGTTCTTGTAATTACTATGATGGTAGCGAAAGGTCACGGTAACTTATTAACGTGTCATAATAAGGTCCCGGCTACATTTGACATCAATTATGAGCGTCCTGTAGCCTCTCAGCTGGAGAAAACGGTGTTGTTTAAGCAGCTTCGTTACACCCTATTTATACCCTCCAGGGACATTCTCTGCTTCCTGTTTGCGTGTTGCCTCCAGATGTTAGAGGAGCAACAACATGTGGCTCGCATTCAGGAAGTAATTTTTTATTTTTCTGTCTTTGTTTATTTTTTTTTATTTATATGGTGCATTTGATAGGATTTTTTTTCTTCTCTTGTTGCATCTGTTGAATTACTCATTTGCTCCAGATGTGTTAAAAATAAATGTATGGTTGCAGAATCATTTACAAACCAAATATGATGTTTTTCTTTCCTTAGCTGTGAAAATTAGGTCAGGTTAGCCAGCATTTTGGGGGAAAAGGCATCAATTGTGAATGAAAATTACAGTATTTTTCCTCTTAATGTTCTTGACAGCCATCTATTTGATAAATAGTAATTAATCTGGAAATGTGACTGTGAACAGTCAAGGCTAAACAAACTGTTATTTGATTTATGACTTGGCCATCTGTTGCGTTTGATTGTTTACATCTCCATCGATTGCCAATCTGTTCGCTCTGAGTCATAGATCATTGTGCTGTTTCAGATCTTGAATACCCTGCCTGACTGTTAAGCCAGAGGCAGCTGGCTGTCAAAACAGTTTCTGGTCATTGTTTATCTGACCTATGGCTGTGACTGCTCAGCTTCTGTCTTGCTCTTTGTTCCCCAAGAATGCATACAGGTGGCAAACGCTGATCTTCTTACATTCCAGCCATCAATACACTCTTCTGCTTTCCCTTTTTATTATAGGCAGTCTTTGGGCTGAATGTTGATTAGCTCTGTGCTTCTGTTTCTGAAAGATTTTACCTGTCTGTGTTGCAGAGTACGAGGACAGTAGCTTATCATTGTGGGTGAACAAGGAGCGCTTCCAAGGATACCTTCAGATTGATGGCTTTACGTTGTATGAGCTGGGGGAAACAGGTGGCGTATGCTCTTTTTCAATATATAACGTATTTATTCCTGAATTTCATTTTCCTTTGCGCATTGTTTTAGGGTTTATAATAGAATACTGTCCAAAAGGCTTGAGCCACCCCTAATTTCTTTAGATTTTGCTAAGAAAATGAGAAATAGATGCAGTGATCTATTGAAACCTGTGAAAATAATGAAAATACAGTTAAAATTCCCTGCCAAGTTAACTGTCATATGTAGACCCTTGAGTTAGGTGGCCTTTTTATGCCTGAATTATTTATATGTTAGGGCTTTGAGCTTAACAAACAAAATCATTCCTCTGAATAATTGTTACGACCCGGCTCAAAAGCCGCAACATAAAAAAGGAGACGAATACCAGCGTGTAGGTGAAAAGAGGTTTTATCTTAAAATGGACTATCAGGTTGGCTAAAATGGCTGGTGCCACCAAGGCAAAGACTAGTGAGCTCCCTGGGAAGCTTGCCTCAGGTATGCTTTTATCCACACCTGATTAGGTGTGGCCAATTAGCACCAGCTGAACACACTGAGCAGATTAGAGGCTGCAGAGGGACGTAACAATAATAATCAGAAAACCTGAAGAACTATTGCATGAGAGGACTTTAAAACTGATTTGGAGAAAGTCTGGCTCCTTAGAAGCAAAGTTTACAAAAATGACAGGTGGCTCAAGACTTTTGCACAGTACTGTAATATCCTGCTTCAAAATGTATGGAATCGTGAGTTTCTGGGTCTAGTTTCATTTGGTTGTTTGGTTAGTAGATTAATTGCTGAAATTTCACTGAGAAATAGAAGAATGAACCGAAAACCTCAAAATATTCAGTTTCCTTTCATGGAAAACAAGACATGCAGCCAGTGATCACTTTTAAAAACCCAGCACTGGGACATTTTATGTCTTTGCTTTATTATCAGAATAGATACAGATCAATTTTCTGCAGAATGACTGTTTTTTAAAGGGCTGTATTTTGTTAATTGTGAGCCTAAGATGTGGGACTTTTAATGTGTTTTTTTATGTGTGTGTCCTTTTTAATCTTTATGACTGTGGAACCAAAGTGATTACAGATTGAATACCAGCTTATATCATTTGAACTGCATCAGCACTTTATACATGGCTTTGCTCAGACTGCCTGCCTCATTTTATTACATTGTAAAACCCCTTAATATTTTAGAATCTCTAAACATGTCTTCCACTTAACAACTTTATATTTAAGAATCAAACAACATAGAGCTGCTGTTTTTAAAAAAATCCAGTAAAAATATCCAGGGCTAAGGTAGCAAAGAGTATCCCTTCCCTCCAGATATAGCCCATGTTCTGCTTGTTTAAATGTACATACACTTCTCCTCTAAAAGGAAATTTAAGCTCAAGAGTGAAATACAAACTGCCTCTTAAACGGCAGTAAATTGATGGTCTGTGCAGAGAAAGCTGTGCTTTCTAATATTAGATACAGTGTTTTCCTCCTTTATGCTGATGTTGCTGAGATCAGTGATGCTCAACAGTTGAATGTTGCTTAAATGTGTTACTGTGTGCAGTTTTAGTTTCTGGCCCATCCATATAGCAGACTTTCCAGTTAGTTTTAACAGTTCTGCATATAACACGGTCTCCATAGCATCTTAATTGGATAAACACTGTAACTGATTAAAGGCTACATTGTTAAGTTTGATGTGTATCTGTGAATTTGCCAGCCTTGTCTTTGAAGCCTTTTCAACAAAGCATCAGATTTCACGCTCTTGGGCTCAGCGGAGCTGTAGGAGTGACATTTCATGCTGTAAAATCCCTGCTCCAACACATCGTAAGTCACACTGGCACAGAACTTGGTACCCGCGACAGCCCCAGTGTGACCAAACCATTGAAAAGTTTGAAACTGTAATTTATGGGCTAAGATTTAGAGCACATGAGACCTATATTGGTAGCATACTGAAAGCAAAAAAACATGCAACACATGGATTTTAAAATTAAAAGGCAGCAGTTTGGATTTCTTTGCGGTGTAAAGAAACATTGAAGGTTTTTCTTTGGGGATAGAAGATAAATAGTAAGCAAGCGCTTTCATAGCGTGGTTAATTTGCAGATTTTCTAATTTAACCCATTAGAATCCAACTTGCTTCAGACGTTATTGGATTGAGGCAGTGAACTAGTGAATAAACAACTTCTGCAGGTCAAACATGAATAGAAACCTGATAGAAATGTAATAGGACATTTTAGAATATGTGAATTCTTTTTTTAAAGCTATTATTACAAAATCTTGGAATTTAAAGGACTTGAGACTTGAGCAGTAAGGGATTCAGAAATTCTGTCTACATGTAAGCCATGAAAAATATCTTTTCTATGCTTTGATCTTTTTGCTTGGAGATTGTTTAAAAGATATAATAACAACCCTATGATCACAGAGCTTGGAAGTATTGGATGTCGAAGCTGTAGAAAATAACACCAGTGGTTCTTCATTTCATCTGTGGGTCAAAAATTACAACTAAATTCACAGAATGAGGGGCTTTGATGCCAGAGGGTAGCAGGCTGAGAAACATCAGTGGTTTCAAAAAGTGGTTGAATAAATAACGACACCGTGCAAACACGGTAAATATAATGTTCGATGGGTGTGCCGGTTGTAAGTTTTCACTAATACGTTTATTAATATTAGATCTATTTAATGCATTCTGGATCAATTATGAGTAGGTCACAAGCTCAGCTTTTTTAAGTTGCCAGGTTGTGAAAAACCCACCTTTCACATAGGATTAGTCTTTTTAGCTCTTTAATTAACCCCACAGACCCTTTCGGATAATCTGATGTTTGACATCTGATCCTCTGGAAAGAGCCGCAAGGCTTCTGAACCAAAAGTCAATTTATTAACTGTTTTCCTTTTAAATCT